CCTTAATAAAAAACCCATTCATATAAACTAAGTAATGTTGTTCCAGGACAATTCAACTTAGCATACTAAATCTATTATATTATTTATTAGGGATCATATCCTACTCCCAGGTGAATTCACTGGCAAGATTCCTGCTAACTTCAATTAGGATTTGATCATAAGGAGATTTTTGAGTAAAGAAAATTTCATCCCTCCTTGCCAACACTGACTTTTCTGGCTCTAAATATTCAATAAACTCACAGCCAATGAGTGTATTTTCCTCTTTTCTCATTGTATATACTACTTAAGTGTTTGCTAAATACTCACTAACTCTGATCTCTATCCCAGACCTTTTTCTAAAAGACCTCCAAAATCATTTAGTGTTTTATTTACCCTATGTGCTTAAGTAATATCTGACAGTTTTTTCCATATATAAATATTTATTTCATTATATACTAAAATGTTTATAAGAAATTAGGAAAATCATTCTTAGTAYGCTAGAAGCAGAGTTATTCCCTTAATATCACTTTGAAGGGAAAATACAATTAACATGTTTTATATTGTTATTTTCCATTAAAGATCTCAGCTGTTTTCTATTTTTAATGATTAAACCAAAATCATTTTAGTAAAAATACCTGAGTAAATAGTCTTAGAAAGATTCAGATACTTCTGTCTTTGAGCATGCTGTTTGACAAAGCTTGATTTTAATGATGCTCTTTTCTTCTCAGATGGACAAAAATATTATGAAAGTGCTAACTAGGACTTCATCCTGCCTACAAACATTTTGTTAATTATAATCAGACTGTTATTCAGCCAAAACCAAGCAAATTAAGCTTTTGAGTTTTAATCAAGAAAAGTCTTACATAACTTAGTCACCCCCCTCCATATCAATAAATAGCTCAGTCACAGAGCAATAATGGTATTAAAAATCTAATATTTTGCAATTACTGGGTTACAGCAGAAGACTTCGCCTCACTGTAATGACAGTGAGCCCAAAGTGAACTGTGGTTAGTACTTATAAATATTCTCACAGGAGTATAAGCCAGGGAGGATCAAGTCTATTTCAATTATTATTTATAGTTTAAGAATGCAGAAACCATCATTACATCAGCTTCTGAGAGAGGAAGCAGCCAGCTATTACGTTATGGAGCATTGCCACAATTACAACACAGAAAAGCACTCCTGTAACAGCATTTTGTAAACCATCAAGTTCCACTCCATAAGCCAGTCAGAAATGATGATTTTTGACCTGATCCTATAACCTACACTTTTTGAAATTATGTTTTTCATGCTAACATCAATTATTTTAACCAATRTTATTTCTTATACATTGATGTATTTATTGGTCTAGTGTACTGGTTATTCCTATGGGAATAATCATTGTTTTGAAGTTGGGCAGCATGAGGCAAGCTGAAGTTGAGCTTTGGAGTGAGAGTGGAGTGGAGACCTCACAAGTATAAGGGCTCACCAATCCCTGTTCTTTGAGAAGAGAATGCATTTTAAAGATTTGCCTACTTGGTTTTGGCTGTTTTCCTTACTTATCCTATGTGGATTATTTGAACAGATTTGATGAGGAACTGTGCAATTTTTGTGTTATTATTTAAATAGAGTTAAAATTAATAGGCAGGATCAGGCCAATGTCGCAAATCTATTTTATGTGGTAGTGTTGTGATATATTACTTCATTTTCATGTCACAGCCATGTGAGTTTTAACGAGCCTGTGGTGAAAAGGAGACTGATTGCTTCAGGAATTAAGTGGACTCAGTGTTCTAACCATCACTGAGTTTTAATGTTCTCTCCTCATGTTGACTCAAAAATGTAGTGAAAAAAAAATCTTGATATTCATGATTACAGATGCTTCTCCATAAAATTACTCCTTATTTCCCAATATGTATTTGTTGCCAGTGACAGTCATACACCTACCAATCCTACCTTTTCAAGACTTACTCTTGATTCTTTATATCTCTCCTTAAACCCATACTGGAAAGGCGGCAATGGAATAAATGTTTTGTTGTCAGATCATGGTGAGACTGAGGAGAAGTGATTTAGGCAGAGAGASAAGGGAAGGTTGATTTGGTTTAGGTTTCCCTCTTACTCCAGCACTGTACTCTGACTCTCCTCCCAGAAGATTATTCAGCCATCATAGACCCATATTCACTGCACACTCCTTCATCATTCCAGTGCCAGCCAAATCTAAAAAGATCACTGCAGACAAATAAAAAGGGACATTCTGAGAATAAGATGAGTGGACCAATTGATATTTGTGTGCAGAAGAGCTGGGGGAATGCGCTGGTTTTTAGCTGGGGTAGAGTTAGTTTTCTACACAGTGGTTGGCATGGGGCTGTTTTGGATCTGTGCTGAATAAAGTTGGTTACATAGAGGTGTTTTTGTTATTACTGGGCAGTGCTTACACACAACCAAAGCCTTTTTTGCTCTTTGTACTGCCACATTGGCAKTTGGGGGCGTCTGGGAGGTTGGGACGAGACACAGCCTGGACACGTGATGCCAACAGACCAAAGGGACATTCCAGATAGTATGGCCTCATGCTCAGTACAGAAAGTGGGGGGAAGAAGGGAGACACATTTGGAGTGATGGCCTTTGTCTTCTCAAGTCACCATTTTGCATGACGGAGCCCTGCTCTCCTGGAGATAGCTGAACACCTGCCTGCCCATTGGAAGCAGTTAATTCATTCCTTGTTTTGCTTTGCTAGTGTGTGTGGCGTTTGCTTTCCTTATAAAACTATCTTTATCTCAATGCATGGGTTTTCCAGCTTTCACCCTTCCAATTCTCTCCCCAATCTCTCTGGTGTGGGAGTGAACGAGCAGCTGCGTGGGGCTTGACTGCTGGCAGGGCTTAAACCATTAAGGGGAAGGAAGAGAAGAAATCCTTGTTACAGAATGAACTTCCCCTAAAAATATTTTGAAACTAAGAAATACAAGCAGTTTTAATGGGTTCTAACTCTAATCAGCCCGATTTAACTCTGATTTCTAAATAGAACTGATATTTAGAAATTTATCAATAAAATATCCTTTGTCATTTTGAAAAAAGAAAACTGTAATATTTTATTATTTTGCAAACAAAATAATTTACTTCTATCATGCTAAATTATCTCATTATTAAATGCACAACGTTGGTTATATTTGTTAGATTTTCTGCTTCAAGCCTTACCATAAAGTGCACAGTCAAGGCCTATTTCCATATTGAGCTGGATTTTTTCAACACTTCACTGTACAAAATGTTATGACAGTAAAGAAGTGGGAAATATAGTTCAACTTATTCTCAGCAACTAAAGATGCTTTCATYAATATGTTTCTGTGGTATGTAATATTGTTGTTAAATTGTAGGTAGAAATTATTTCTGTCAAACTTTTCTGACCATCTTGATTTTAAGACTGTATCTTTAGCTACTAAATGCATTATTGTCCATCACTTATGAGTCTGTAAAAATCATAATATAAATAAGTTTACATTTTATAGATAAATTTACATTTGCTCAAAAATTTGTTAAAATACAGGCTAAAGATTTTCAAAATGTTGATGAATCAATCACAGAAGAAAAAACAGTGCATCAATAATTAGAGCAATATTTCACTTTCTCTTTTAAGAGGATAGGGACTCTTTGCCCAAAGGTTCTATAAATTTACTTCTCAGCATAACATGATGACCACATTTCTCAAACATTAGTTAACATACTTGGCAGGAAGCTATGTAAATCACCTCCTTTTGTTTTTAGTGCATTTTCCACATGTTCAAGGAGCACTGAAAAGATTAGGTGCTCAAGAGAAGAAATCATTAAGTGACAAAATCAAAGCACAAGAACACAAGTCCTGTCAAACATGGGAGTATAATCCAGTAGAAAATAAAATTGTTTGCCTTTGATAGAAACTTACTTAAATTATTTACATATACTGAAATATCTCTTTTTTAGAATTTTTTCAGAAAAAAAGGACAACACTACAAATATCACTGCTGGGTCTCTTTGCACCATTTGTGGAATAAGGAGCTACTCATCTTGGTTAAAAAATTCAAGTTTGGACTTAAGCCAGCAAGAGCCAGATCCTGCCATCCTTACTAGAGCTGAATAGGATCTTAAGATGGGCCTGATTATGAGCCGATTACTCATGTTGTGCTGAGAGGCTTTTTTTTGCATGAATGGGGCTATTGTGAACAAACATTTACAAGTGATTCACAATTTGGCCTATGTGAGTAATCTCACTGCCATCAATGCGACTACTCAGGGAGTAAAGCACTCCTAAATAAAACTGGCAGAATGTGACCCTGTTGTAGTACTTGACATCTAACACGAWGATACTTTTTCATTAGCTAAATGAAACGCTGCAAGCAACAGGCTATCATTCATTCTTTGAGACTAGGCTGATGCAAGAGCATGACAAGCTTAAGGCAGGCCTGCAACTTATCACACCTCAGGTTTAACGAAGGGTTGAATACCTATTTATTTAATTATAAAGTTATGCTAGAAACGCGGAACAAATAATTTCCATTGCTGGACTTGAGGGTGAAGAATTAATTAGAATTTAATCCCTTTCACTGAATTAAAATCATCAGGAAGATGACATGKTTTTTTATTTTCCCCTTTGATTTTGAAAGCTTCAAGCATCTAAAATCATTGCAATATTTTGAAAATGGGTATTTATTTTCCCCAAGTAATCTGCAATTGCAATAAATTCCTAGGAATTGTTACATTTTACTCCTGACAAAAAACCTTGTACAGATTGTTGAGGGGGAGATTTCAGAAGACAACAATAGCAAATTCAGTTATGAAAATAAATAAGTAAATTGAAAGAGGCAACAATAAAAATGTATTAGAGATTTTCAGCTAAACTTTCCCTGCTTTGTCCATTAATGATGCCCTAAAAAATTCTGGATATCACTTTGGCATGTTCTTAGCACTATATCTTAAAAAATGATTATGTGGAAATTGAATAAAATACAGCAACAAGAAAAAAAAAAGACCACAATATTTTTAAATTGCTAAAGAAATCCCTTGTTTTTCCACCACTTTTATCCTTCTACATGTGGCAAAAGTGTCCATACAAAACTAAAGTATCACCTTTACCAATAAAATTCTTTTTCTTTGCTTTAAATCATAAGGCTAGTTTGACTGCTGTCTAAACAGACCATTAAAAAATGGAAAAGATAGCTTCTAGCCAGAATTCTCTTTTCCAGCTCCTCAGGCCAAAGTTGAAGTTAATTTTTAGAAGGAGAATCGAATCAGGAAACCACAAATTGTAGTATACATATGTGTTAAAATTTGAGTTTATTAATAGCGGAAAATAGGACCATCCTTTCAGCTGTGTAAGAATCTGATGTAAAAATCCTATTTTTGGTTGACCCTGATGGTTTCGAAGTTAAGTTTGTTTATTCCTTTGAAAGGCTACAGAATGAGCCCTCTCCTATTTTAAGTTTTTCTCCCCCTGAGTGGGAGCAGAGAAAATCTGGGGATTCCTGTGTGTTTGTTTTTGTGAGTACTGCTAGTTCTGCRGTTGCTGTGAAGAAATGTGCTTCCTGGATCTTCCATTCTTCCCCCAACCGCCCTCTGTTCCTAACTAATGGCCAGAGAGAAAAGCAAGAAATGAGCAGGGGGTACCCAGAGAGTTGTGTCCTGTTCTAATCACAGCCATGCAAGTCCTTCTTGATTTCAATTAATTTACTTTGCCTTTATGAACCCGAGAGACTGACTGTTGCTTTCAAAGAGGCTGACATTTCACTCATCTGAAGGAGCTTGGAATGTGACAGGGGAAAGGGAGGAGAAGTAAATCAAAGCAGATAGCAATTCTCCAGATGTAAAGTATTTTCCTTCTCTATTTTTTTTCCACCAGAAATGTCAGAAAGTCTGCTGACATTTTAATTCCTTTGTGATAGGCTGGGAGCTGAGAGCCAAATCCTGCTGCCATTGCAGTCAAAAAGATTTTTTCCTATATGCTTTAAAGGTAGCAAACCAGTTTTACACTCTGGAAAGTATATAAGCAAAGTATCAACTAAATGTCACTAAAACTAAATGAGCTGTACTGTAATAACATCTTAAGATCAGTCACAAACTTAAACTGGCACGTCTTGTTGGACTTTTCTTTGTTTCAATTTGACTGTAGAGTAGCAAAACCCAGTAAGTTGGACTGTACGGGAAGTAAGACTTCACTGTTTGGTTGTTCAGGTTTTTTTCCTTAATCTGCGTTTTGCTAAAAGTGTAGGAGTACTATTCCATGCTGTCTTTTAGTCACCCAAGTTTCACAACACCCTGCAGCCTTTAAGATTTAAACACGCTAGTTGACACAATCTCTGCACATCTTGGAAAACTATTAAACATTGTGATAAAATATAACACTTTYAGTGTTATATTTGACTGAAAAAAAATCTCATTATCTTTAACAGGAATACATTCAGGTCCATAAGATAAAGTAGTTCCTTCTATTCTTATTACATTAATTCAACAAGCTCAACATGCATTCAGCAAAACAGCAGAGCTGGCCTACAGCAGCAGCACAGTGCTGAAAGAACTCAGGCCACAAATTCTACCTACAACATGAATGGTCCTATATTTCCTTCTTTACATGGTGTGCTTAGAGATTTACATCATGGGTTTAGCATAATAAATTTATTATCCTTTACAGAGTTGTTCCCTGATGAACTATTCATTTATAAAGCAAGAATTCTTTATACAGGACTGCTAAAAACCATGGAGTAGACACATTTGCTTAGTAGTTTTATTTTTTTTTTGCAGGTTCTATAATCATCTTTCATCAACTGGTACAACAAAACATACTTATATATAAAAATCAAAACAAAGAGGGCTTGTTGAGCTTGATGCATGGTAAATCTATTTGGTTTATTCTTGGTTTATTGTTAAATATTATATTGCATTTCTTTAAGCAGACATCGTGTATATTGTGATTTCTAGCATTCCACACACAGCAGCTTATTGTTGTTCCCTTTAAATATGGGAAATAAAAATGGTTTTAGTTTGCTATTAAAAAAAAAGAAGGAATTGAGAGAGGGTACTGCTATATTACATGGCCCAAGAAATATTGGCAGCATGCTCTTTGGCTTTCATCCGTAGAACTGCAATGCTGGAGGACCTCCTTTCAAACTCTGGCTTGGTTTCAAAAGCATGTCCATTGGCTGCCCCAGAAAGCAACGAGTCAGTGAAAAAATTATTGAGGGGCACGTGGCTGAACTGATTCTGGTGGTTTGAAAAGCCTGTGTAGCCAGAATCTGTCCGGGGTGAATGGGAGTAAGGTGTCATACAGGAGGATGTGTCTCGTGGCAGCATGCAGGAGGTAACCACAGAGCTGCTAGCCGCATTCCCTGCCCACAGATTGTTCTGAATCTGAAACATACAAAATGAGAACAATTAAATTTAGATTGTTCATCTTTTAATTTCTGCAATACTTGGTTTGCTTTACTTCACAGAAAATTAGTTCTCCTCTGAAACAAGCAACAAGTACTTAACAAGTTGTCTGAAATCACATTAGAAAATTGTATGAAGAGATCACAAGTCAAAATACGAGACTGTTCACTTGAGAGCAAGGGCTGATGAGTTATGCTCCTTACTCTGTCATCCCTTTGCTCTGTGGCTCCATATATGTCTACTGTTGAATCACAGGGTGCCATCAGCCCAGCCAGTCAATCAAATTAATGAAAACACACAATTGGCATCAGAGAAAAACTCTCAAAACTCTCATGAGGGACTCTCAAAAGAGTGTGCAAGATCATAGATCTTGCACATATATTTTCACCATAAATGCTCTCCTTATTAGAATATCCACTGTAATGTTAGGAAAGACTAGAAAAGGGTGAACAAAACAAACAAATCTGGATTTCTCAAGCAACAAAGACCAACAAGTATTTGCAAAATTTACTAAAAAGAAGCCTTCCTTAATGACTTTAAAACAAATGAAACAATAAAATAAACCACAGGAATTACTGATAATACATTCAAGAATTTTTCTTAAATCTGTTTCAAAGACAGATTTGAGATAAAATTTCTTTTCATGATGTTTTTATGTGCAATTATACTTTGAGGGCATTTTTGTTTCAGTGTTCAGCCTCAACAGACTGCACATGCATCCCTGGAAAATGTAGCATGACAGACTAGGACAGAAGATTTGTGGTTACCAGTGATGTCTAGAGGAACCATGTATTCAAGCTTTGATGCATAAACCTTTCTATACTTGGCAGACACAGCTTCATTCTGAGTTTCAGGCTTTCTCCCATCTATGTACAGACACTATTTATGGATAGGTATTTTTCGCTTGTTTGTTACTAGATGAACGGACAGGAAGATTTTCAAGGCCTAACACAAGTCAGCTCTTGTTATTATCTCAGACTGCATGGTCTTTCATTCCTGCTCTATTCACCATGATTTGACCAAACTTTGCACTCAGTTACTGTCCTTGTGTTTTTTCAAACAACCCCCCCCNCCCCCCCCAGTATTACATGTATATGATACAATCTCTGACATACTCAAACTTCCATGGTAATTTCTCATTTGGACACAACAATATACAGCTTTGTATGTCTTCTCCTCTTTTACCTATATAGATTTCCTGAATACTAATTTTTTTAATGTACAAATAACATCAGACAAGACATTTTTTTATCCTCATTCACAGTRCAGATCTTGTCAGCCTGTAACTATATCCTTTCCTATTTGATTTCCTTTGCTAAATTTGTCTTCATTCAAAAAATCTGCTATGTGTTCAGTGTACCCTTGCTCTGATGCACTGCCATTGAGCCCACATGTCTTTTTTCTCTGTGATATGTTGGAGTAACTCAAACACTCTTCAGTTAGCACTGTAAAATGAGTTCCCACTTCAAACTTAATTTTATATTCCTATTCCAAATCCATAGACAAAGGAATTTTGACTTTATGATATGAAGGTTATCTCTCCAGCTGAGTGATATTTTTCTGTCAAAGTAGAGGTCAGAGGAAGTAATGAATTATGACAGACACACACACAGAATGAAAACATGTTTCTGATGCTGATGAGTTGTGTTTTCTCCCATAGTCCTATCACTTTGCAACAGCACATACTCACAAACCACCAACAAGCTCAAGCTATAAATCATGGTTCACTGAACTCATCTAGCTGAGATCTAGTGCAGATAGGAAGGATGAAACAGTCTTATTTTCAAAGTTGATATTTTAAACAGCTGTAGTAGCGAGGTCATCAAGAGCTGACAAACCAATCTGGGCTCCTTGGGAATTCCAGCAACAAAAAGAAGATCCAGTAAATGCTCCATTTTTGTTTCCTGCAAAAGCCTAGGGGAAAAGCCATGGTAGCAACACATCTCCTCCAACTCTTGGTGTGCTCAGTTTGTTTACACAGAAATGCATGTGTGCAGTCATATGCATTGCTCCACACTTGCTTGTGGATGTGGCTTGCCTCTCCACACACACATCTGGGCACACACACCTGGCACACCCCAGGCTTCTGCTCCTGTGTATTTTAGGTACTCTGCTGACAGGTGATAGAGTGAGTAAGGTGCCTGAGGAAAAATATGGAAGATTTTTCCTCCTTCTTGTGGGTTGCCTGAAGCCTACACAAGGAAATCTAGTAAAAGTTTCAGAACTTTCCAGTTCCCTCCTCCCAAAATCAGTTTTTAGAAGAATCAAACATCAGCCCATGGGAGACCCTCTACAGTTTGACATGATCCCCAGCTGCCTTATTGCACCTTAATTAACCTACCTGAGCCAGTTTTGACCTATAATCWGACAAATTTCCCCAGGAAGAGACTAGTTAATCCCTGCAGTGTCTAATAAATGAGCTATTTCTGAAGGACCTCATAATCTCCAAAGCTAACTCACATGGGACAAAGTCTCATTCATCTGACTTATTAAAATTTCTTTCTAAGAAGTGCTATGCTAAATGCTGCAGTCACCCAGGCTGCAGAGATATAATTATGGGAAGAATTTTCAAAAGAAATGTGCAAGTTTGCCTTTAATGCAGTCATGATGGGAAAACTTCAAAAGGCTCAGAGACTCAGATTGAAAGTGTCCAATAACCTATGTGGTCTGGAAAAAAATCACAAAATCACTCTTTCTTTCTTTATTTCCAGTAGTTTGGTTCACAGTAAACTAAGTTTAGTACCACCACTTTTATTTTTATCCTAGACAAATCTCTTTCAATTTAGCCTCAGTGAGATTGCACAGGTGTAAAGGAGAACAGAATTCAGCTGCAAATCCTAAAATATGTTCATGTCTTCTTAAAGTATGTGAATAAGCTATTAATTCCTAAAACTTTCAAAGGAGTGCACTGGGTGCCTTCCTTAGAGAAAGGAATCCAAATTAGTAAACTTAACTTCAGGAATGCCACAAGATTCTAGGCAAGCTTTACCTCTTCTCTCATGAGGCAGCTATGCTTTCCAAAAGAATGTTTCAGTCATATCAATTTTCTATTGATTTTAGTTTTACCTCTGATATTAAATTTTCATTTCAAGGATTTACAACATAAATATGTTGTAGTGAAGTTTGGGTGCAGAGGGGATTCCTGTATTAAAAATAAATACACTAATGTTTTACAATAAGTCAAAATTATCAGTCCTTCTTCTGGTATGTTAGAAGGAAAAGCAACACTGTGTACATGAATTTAAAGAAAATATTTTTCCTCTTAAAATCTTGTGTGATCCATGAACTGTATAAAAGGCAATTCAGAGGCTGTGAATGAGGCCATACATACAGCACATCTCTGGTTTCTGTTAACATCACAAACAACTTGAGCTTTGCTCTTGTGGTTACCATGAAATTACCAGAGCCCTTCAATATATTTACCTACTGTATGTTTTATACACACATACATATGCACACACACCCTTCCTGATAGAAAAAGAAAGAGGATTTCATAGCTGTGACAAGAGCAAAACTGGAGAGTTATGGTTGTTAACATGGCTATGATGTAATTTCCTAAGCATATGACCTTTTGTTAGACCCTGCAGAGGAAAATGAGCTCAGGTAATCGCTCATCCTGCTCGGTRTCATTGCATTTTTTCTTTTAAACTTTCAAGCTCCCTGAGGTTCAGCCTTCTTATGCAGCACCTGGAGAAATAACAAATTCAAAACAAGAAATTTGCTGGGAGTTTTGCTATCACTTCCCTAGATTTGTCTCTCATCACCAAATCTCTTGACTCATGTTATTTCAGTCACCCGCCTATCCAGACTAGAGTCTCTCCCCAGCAGACACAAAACTTCTATTTGAGTGCACATGTGTTTAGTGCTTCATATGGGAAACAAAATTCTAATATCTTTTAAGATCTCTAGATATTAAGAGATGTTCTTATTACATCACATATTAAATATGATGTATGTTGAATATTATTATAATTACTGTAGTGAATAATTAGAAACTACACATTTTCAGGATGTTCCTGGTCACTGCAAAGGAAACAAGAGTGGCACTGACAGAGCAGTTAAGAATTTCTGTAATTAGAGAAAACATGCAAATGCTAGACTGAATTGCTAAACTTCTGTCACTTTTCTGCTTGTGTGAAACAACAGTCCTTTCACYGCCAGACACTAAATCTGTGCTATCACAAGGAGCTACTTTAGGCAMATTAAATGCCATAGCTGTTCAACTGCTCAAAACTGCTGGTTCACAACTGGTATCTATCTGCACAATTTATCTTTCCATATTTTTTTTTCTTTTTTTTTTTTTTTCTGCAGGCGTCTTCAGAACATCCAAAATACAGGTAGAAATTTGCCTGTACTTCCCAAGTTTGTAGATTCTTGGAACAGTTTAAACTGAAAATAACCTCTGGGATAATTTTTCTAAACCTTGCTCACAGCTATCCTTGATTTTAGATAAGGTTACTCAAGCCCCATCCAGCTACATTTTKAGTATCTCCAGCTACAGGGATTCATTAATTTCTATGGGCAACTTGTCCCGAAGCTTCATCCCTCTCATTGTGTTTTTACATTTGTATCTGGACAGAAGAGCTCTCAGTGTAATTTGTGATCAATTTGTAGGAGCTGTTGGACCAAGTGCAAATGGGAAGATCACCTGTACTGTATTGGSCTCAGGTACATATGAGTAAGATGCAGCACATTATTTACAGGTATTAATAAAATGCTCATTGGCCCATGGTAGTGATACAGATCTAAAAAATGTGACAGACTCCTTCAGTCCACATTTAGGCTTACATGGTAAACAAAATAAAAATCTGATCATTAGATTCCACATTTAAACAAGTTTGCTGATCTTCAAAATAATGAGGATTTGAAAAGTCATCAAGCTTTCATTCTTGTATAGGGTTTTTAGTAAACTGTAAGTTCTTCCTACTGCTATCTTGGGGCCAGTTACACTAAGGATTAATTATGTTTCAACTCTATGA